TTGGCTAAGTAAGCCAAATAGGATCATTGGCTAGGTTGCCAAATTAGTTTATCTTAGTTTTCCAGATTCCATGCTTCAATTTGTAAATATTAACAAATTGCATTTGCTAATATTTTCAGTCTCACAAATGGATCTTTAATAACATTTTTTAAAAATCCAATTCTGTTGCTCTGTGCATATTTCCCACGCCACGTCTCTATAATGTCACAAGTGAAACAACTTAACTCTTGATGGTATGATATAAATATAATGTAGAGAATATGCTAAAAATTGATGTCAGTGGAGTTTCAAATATCACATTCATATTAGCAAATGCACTTTTCTTGCTCTTAAAACTATTATGTTCTTATGCATCAAGAGATAAGACCATATATGAAAATCTCACCAAGACCTCCCTACAAACAAGTGATCTTAGAAAGTTACTTTTATTTTTGATCAGCTGGATGTCTGACACATGTGGAAACCCATCATCATGCTTAAAAGTATACAAGCTGAGAATTCCAAGCACCCCACACCAATAACTAATAAATAATGTAAGTGCAGTCGGCGGCTGGAAATCTGTTATAATACAGATAGAAGTCTATCTGATGTGGCATTAGTAGGCCAGATCAATAATAATTATCTGAGAGGTGAAGGCACTTTTAAATTCAGGGATATGTGCTGGTGTTAGGTACACTACCCGAGCTATCCAGTATGATTCCCTTCTCCTGGTCTTTTCCTGTGCCCTTTAATATTATTTATATTTATCCAAGATTGGTAAATATATGACTAGTATGATTTATCAGTAAGTGTACTGCCCTTGGAACAAAAGCATCTTTGTGGCTCACCCATGTCCAAATATCAAGAAATAAGTCTTGCTCCCTCCATTTCATTCAAGCTCTGTCTCAAAAGATCCTTGGCTATGTTACCAAATTAGTTTCCCAGATTGCATGTTTCAGCGTACAATGATCTGGTCAGACACACCTCTAGTTTTGCATTCCATATATTCTATGATACAATACATATTTACACATTGAGAGGACATCCCAAGATGTTTACAATATTGGCTTTGTACCTGAGCTGTGGCTGGGAGCCAAGGGGGTGGCAAGGGGAAGGATGACTGAAAGTACGATTAGAAAGGTGGGTCTTGAGACAGAGCTTGAATGAGGTGAAGGAGGGAGCAAGTTGGAGGGACTCTGGGATGGAGTTCCGGAGAGTGGGGCCTCAAAGGTTGAAGGCCCTTCCACCGATGATGAGATGGGTAGGTTGGGGGTCATGAAGCAGGCTGGTGCCTGCTGAGCAAAAGTAGTAGCAAGGTGGATACTCAGAAAGAGTATCTTGAGACTCCTCGCATCCTAATTCCTCCTCCCTAGTCTTCCAATCCTCCTCTATCCCTTTCTTTCTTATGTGGAGTCCTGTAGGGTATTGGTTAGAGCAGTCGTCGTGCAAGCGAGAGGACCCAAGTTTGATTCCTGGGTGGGGCAAGGTTTTGCCCACAAAGAAAATAATAATAATAATCCTTGCATTTTATATAGCACCTTATCACGTCTTCGGGAAGTCTCAAAGCGCTTCAGATAATATACTGTAAAGCGAATTGACTGTTTGTTGTGTTGACTGTTGTGCTTTGAGACCACAAAGATGTAATAAGGCATTATATCAAATCCAAGGATTATTATAAAATCATTATTATTATTATATGCTCATGTGTGTAAATATTTTAACAAGGTTTCGGAGAGAGTATAAGTATACCTAAATGAAAGGAAAAAGGAATTAGCTACCTTCAGCTGGGGAACCATGGAAGAGAGAAAACAAACTAGAAAAGCACATTATAGTTTAATTATTAAACCTGCTGTAACATGGAGTACATTTGGTATTTCACACACAAGTTACTCATTGGTAGCACACATGTTATCTTTCCAGCTGATAAAGTAATGATTTTGTTTAGTGACTGAAGTAGTGCTGTCAACATTTAAGGTTTTAGATTAAAAGAAAGATTGTCAATACTAGATCTGAAATAAAATAATGACAAACAATCATAATTCTTTCATTTGTTATCATAGTTTATCACATTAAAATGCTCCAAAGCACAGTGTTTATTGGCAAACATAACAACCAATTTGTTCACATCAATGTATCACCAACAGCCAGAAGGTGAATGATCAATTTAACGAGAGAAATGTTGGACAGGAAATTGGAAGAAACTGCTTTAACATCTTTTCCAAAAGACGCTGCTTCCAAAATTGCATTGATCTTCCAACTGTATTGGAGTGACAATGACCTCAAAGTCCGTGATATAGGATTTGAACCGCAACCTTCTGACCCAGACAAAAGAGTGCTATGCTACCAACAGAGCCAGGCTGACACCTGAAATAAAAACAGAAAGTGTTGGGCATGTACATTAAATTAATCAGCAGCTGAAAAAAAAGTTAGTTTAACATCAATTATGATTTAAAATACCCCAAACTTTAATATATTTGATTGTCTAAGAATTTTCTATTTTTATTAACATTTTAACAGGTCATAAACGAGGGAGAACAGAATAAAGAAGTATGGTAAGTATGGTAGAAGAGAATAGGAGGGATGGAGGCTCATGTGTAGTATAAACACTGGCAAGGACGTATCAGGCCATTGTTTCCTTGCTTTGTATGGTAATGTAATTCCATTTCGCAGTGCATCAAAAAAGATTGTCTCAGCAGAATATGACCAAAGAAAGCTGCCCCTCTCTCTCACTCATAATCAATTGTAATCTAATCACATAATAGAGTGGGGTCTCCTTGGAGCTGAACTGGAACTGGAATACTGCAGACCCGCCTGGCTCAGGAACCAGGCTACCGAGACCGCCACAGAGGGATAGCTTGAGTCTGACATTCTGTTGCCAGGCATGTCACCTTGGAGCTGAACTGGCTCCAAGGTGACATGCCTGGCAACAGAATGTCAGACTCAAGCTATCCCTCTGTGGCGGTCTCGGTAGCCTGGTTCCTGAGCCAGGCGGGTCTGCAGTATTCCAGGACACTGCGGATTACTACACAGCCAGCCTGGCTTATCAGTAGGATCAGGAAGGGCAGACCCATCACTGAGGACAGGGAGTCATCCCACTCAGCTCCTGTTCACCCTCCAAGCAAAGCCCTAACGGTTGTGGGTCCCAACTGGACAAACACCAGGAAAACTTGCAGCCAGCAATATCAATGGTAAGCTATGCAGTTTTAGTCGGTTAGACTCCTGTCAACCTGCACCTAATACTTTCCAGAATTAGGTAAGCAGGATGCATCCCTCCAGGGAAAGAGTGCGCATTCCACTTCAACAATCTATCTCTGGGACTTACATGTGAAGGTGGGATGCATGGAAATCTCAGCTTGATTTGGATATTCTTAAGCATGGTGATGGGTTTCCACATGTGTCAAACACCTGTCTAACCAAAACAAAATCATAACAGACTCTAGTGAAAAAAAATTGTTTTGGCTACTCAGGCAACATGCATAGAGAACTTCCAATCCATATTCCCTTAATTTGAATGAACGATATATGAGTTTTCTATTCCATTTGAAGTAGCTTAGTTGATTAGGCCCAGAACTTGAGACCAGAAAGTTTTAGCTTGAGTTCTGCCTTGTGTATTCAGCGCCTTGGGACGTCCTCCCAACATGAAAGGCGCTATACAAATGTAATCTTGTTGTATATACTTCAGGTTTGCCTGCAATTGAAGGACTCTCCTCAACTGGAATTCTCTGTGTATCATGCCTGCTCACTTATTTTATATTATTGTTCAATGTGTCTCTTTTGACCCTCATCTTTCATATATATTTCAGCTATAGGAGTCCTATAGCTCAGTCATTGGAGAGCTCGGTTCGCAAGCGAGTGGACCTGGATTCAATTCCGGGCAGGGTGAAACGTTGGGCAAGTTTCCTCACTCCACATACCTCTGTTTACCTAGCAGTAAGTAGGAACCCGGTTGTTAGTCAATTGGCTTGTCCCTTTTCCGGGAGTAATAATTTCTTCAAAAATAATTGAAAAATAATAATAATTTGGTCACTCAATCCACGATTGTTTGTGAATCACTCTGTATGGAATAGTTTCAAAGTAACACAGCTGAATCCACATAGTTACTACAGAGTTGCAGCAGCTGTTGAGATTTCAGTACAGTGGTACAGAGGTCATGAGTCTGTGCCAGGGAGCGAGCTGACAAGGTCTACTGGGCTCCGCGACCCTATCACCCCCATCCTTGCCCAACTCCACTGGCATCCCATCACACAGAGGATACAGTTCAAGATCCTGGTCCTCACCTTCAAAGTCCTCCATGGTCTTGCTCTTCCTTACTTCTCTGACCTCCTAACCCCCTACCACACTGCTTGCTCCATCTGCTCAGCGGGCTCCGGCCTGTTTCACGTCTTGCTATATTCGCGGGCGGGCCTTCCACCTCGCTTGCCCCATTATTCACGGGCGGGCCTTCCGCCACTCTGCTCCCACCCTCTGGAACTCCATCCCGCAGTCCCTCCGCCTCGCCCCCTCCCTTGCCTCCTTCAACACCCATCTCAAGATCCTCCTCTTCGACCGGGCTTTTGATCTCACTGCTTCCCCCCCCGCCCTCTACCCTCCCCGACCCCAATCCCCAGCTCGGGTCCGAAACTCTGTCTGTCCAACGCCTTGGGATGTCCTCCCGACATGAAAGGTGCTTTACAAATGTAAGTTTGTTGTTGTTGTACAGATGGTGGAGATAGTCCTAAGTGTGTTCTGAGAAAAATAGCAATGGAATTGAAAGGTAGAAATAAATTAATTTGAAAATATAAATTGCTTTGAACCTGATATTTGGTAAGGAACTCAAAGTTTTTAGTATGTGCATTTTTCCAATTGTATTGATTGCTGTTCATTGAACAGATGCACAAATGACGTTGAACCTATTAACATCAGTGGGAAATGTAACATATGTGCTGTGAAATACTTTACTCACGTGATAGGTCAAAGTCAAATATACAGAACATAAGAACTGTATAAAAGATGAATTGGACATTTATTTACAGTCATACAAAATGGTACAACTTAGTCCACTCTGCATAATATGTTCCATATTACTTATTTTACTGATAAATTCTTCTTTTTCAGATAAACTGGAGGTAGTGGGAGATTATCCACCATTATGGCATAACATTTCGGAATCGCTGGATGGCTTTGTTAGCCATCACAACAAAACATTGATCAATCCTTGGAATTATCTGGATAGAATGGGCATGTATAAGGTATTACTGACAGTTACAGCTGAGTCCATGGAGAATTTAGGACCAGATAATACTGGGAATCTACTGTGGGGTCTGCCTCTACAACATGGTTGGCAGCTCGAAACAGGTATGAATGATTGGAACTTATTCTTTGATGTACTAGTAAGTAATTTTCAGCATGAACTTCAAGGACAAATAATGAATTGAGAGATTAGAAAAAAAAATCTTCACACAGAGGGTGCTAAAAATGTGGTGTTTTCTTCCACAAACCACAGTTTAGCCAGATCCATGGATTTTACTGTTTTTACGTAGGGTTAGGGTTAGGGTTAGGTTTGGCTTGTTGAACAAGAAGGCAGGAGAATAAACTATTTATTTCTTAAAAATGCACCTTATTTATTCAAAAACAGTAAAATACATTCTTACAGCCGTTATTTACAATGAGACAGATAAGGCTTGAACAGCAGCTGCTGAATTATTTCAAATTCCATTTTATTAAAATTTATAATTAAAGAAGATTTGGAATTAGAAAGGTTTTGAAAAGTAGTTTCCGTCCTATGTGCCTACTGCATTTGCTTGTCATTGTAGGTAGATTAGCAGATCTGTCTGGCACGTCTTCCTGTGGCTATCAATCTGGTGACCCACTGTGCATCTCTACAAAAAGCTGGTGGTCTTGTAAGTAATAACATTTCTTAGATGCCTTAATAGGGTGAGCAAAACGATTTTTGTGCTATTGTTACTGCTGTTACTTTGATTGCTACATTATATTTGCATATCAGCCATAATCAGTTCTTACCTGTTGTTTTCCATTGGAGTAGTGCTGTAGTTTTAACCTTCAAGACAGAGGGTATTTTGAGTTTCTTATTTCTGTCTATATTTCTATAGCTATCACTCTGGTTCAGTTTGTAGAACCTTTGTCTCTGAATCAGAAGGTCCCACCCAAATCAGAACTTTGAGCTCACAGTCTAGGTTGACACTCAAATGCAGTGCTGGGATGCACTGCATTAGTCATATGTTGTCCTTCAGATGAGACAGTTAAACCAACGTTGATTCTACCTTTTCAGTTGCGCATTAAATATTACATGGCACTATTCAAAAAGAGAAAAGAGTTTCTTGACCAGCAATACTCCAGATAAAATTAGCATTCACTTCATGCCCGTTGTGGACATTGTTGTGCAGAAATTGACACTGTCTTGAATGTTGATAAGACAAAGGCTCTTCTTGGCTCCCATCAATGCCTTCTCATACCACACGCTAAAAGGATCAAGATGCATGGATGGACTCCAATTTCAACTTGCTGAGCTAGTGCAGAACCTTGGTGCCTTGTTTGTCTCCCAACTGTCTTACAAACCCCACATCCATGCCTGTTCAGCTTTCCCTCACTTCCTAAAAATTGCCGGCCTCCACTATTACCATTGCTAGGGAGATGACACCTTGGTTTAATGTTTCATTGTTATTTTTAAGTTGTTCATGGTTAACTGCAGCATTTGCCTTTATAACAATAATAATAATAGGCCTTGCATTCGATACATCTCAGAGTCCCTCTAACTTTCCCCCACCCCCCTCCCCTTGTTCAAGGCCTATCTCAAAACATATCTCTCTGATTGCAATTTTGGTCTTCTTACCAGACCCACCTTTCTGGTTCCCACCACCATGTCGAGTGCCCGGTCAGCATTGGCATGTGCTTTGGGATGGTCTTCCGATGTGAAGCACACACGTAAATTTGTATTGTTTTGCCTTATCTCATTGATGAAGCATCTCAAAATGCTCATAAGATTTACTATGTAGTATACATAGATTTACTATGTAGTATACATACTGTGTATGTTGTAGGTGAATGTGACAACCAATTTGCACACATCAGTGTCCCAAAACAGCTATGAATATGAATAATCAATTTTATATTGGGAATTGTTGGCCAAGATAACATTCATTTCAAATAAATTCTCTTATAAAGAATGTGAGACACTTATTTGACATGAAAAGTGTCATATAAATGCAAGTTATTATTGTATAATATTATTATATGCCTTTGAATACAAACCAATCTACAGTGTATGTGCGATTTCAAAATTCTATGTACATAGAAACAGAAGTAGGTCGTTCAGCACCTCGAGCCTGTTCCGCCATTGTATAAGATCATGGCTGATCTGTACTTCAAGTCCAATTACCCAGCTGGCTTGCCCCGTGTCCCTTGATACTCTGATCTAGCAAATATCTATCCACCTCAGTCTTGAAAATATGAATGGATGCAGCATCTACAGCCTTTTGGGGGAAGAGATTTCCAGATTTCCAGTAACCTTTGGGTGAAAAACTGCCTGAATGGCCTAGTTCTTTTTTAGATAATGACCTCTTGTTCTGGATTCTCCTACCAGAGGAAATAGTTTCTCTGTATCTACCCTATCAAATCCTTTATAATTTTAAAAACTTCAATCAGATCACCCCTCAACCTTTTAAACTCAAGGGAATAGAGACCAAGTTTAAGCAATCTGTCCTCGTAATTTAATCCTTTTAGTTCTGGTATAATTAATAATAATAATAATAATCCTTAAAGTTGATATAGCACTTTATCACGTCTTTGAGACATCCCAAAGCTCTTCGCAGAATAACCTGTAAAGTGAATTGACTGTATATTTTGTGGACGAAACACAGCAGCCAATTGCGTACAGTAGTGTCCCACAAATAGTCGTGGATTGAGTGACCAAAATATATATTTTTTTAAAGAAATTAATGCCTTATCAAGTTGTCAAAATAAGTGCTTCACAGAACATACTGTAAAGTGGATTAACTATGATTGACTGTAATTCTGATGATTTTGCGCTGCACCTTGAGATAAAGGCAAACATCCCATTAGACTTTTTGATAATTTTTTTTACCTGTGAGCTTGTTTTTAGTGATTTGTTTACGTGACACCCAAATCCCTTTGCTCTTCCACAGTTCTTAGCCTCTCACCATTTAGAAAATATTCTTTTTGCTATTTTTGGATGACCTCACACTTCCCCAGATTGAATTCCATCTGCCACAGTTTTGCCTTTTCACTTAATCTGTCTAAGTACCTTTGTAACTTCCTGCCCCCATTTGCACAATTTACGTGCCTCCTAACTTTGTGGCATCTGAAAATTTTGATATAAAACTCTCTATTCCTTCATCCAAGTCATGCACTTTTATTTTCGCTAATAACTTCTTGTGCGAAACCTTATCAAATGCCTTCTGAAAGTCCATGTAGATGACATCTATAGACACTGTCTTATCCACCAATATAGTGACCTTCTCAAAAAATTTAATTAGATGCGTCAGATATTACCTGTCTTTCACAAATCCATGCTGACTCTCTATGATTAGCTCATAGTTGTCCAAGAGCTCAGTCACTCTGTTCCTGATGAGGGCTTCCAGTAACTTGCCCCAACTGAGTTAAACTGACAGGTCTGAGGTTCCCTGGTTTCTCCCTCCCTCCCTTCTGAAATAATGACGTGACATGTTTGATATGTATATAGTTTAAATATATATATTTAATTCAAACCATCCAAAACATTTATAAGAAACACATAGACATATGTATTTGTATTTGAAATAGAGTCACTTTGATACGGATTAGCAATGGCATTGGATTTGGATTTTTTTGCATTACCACTTTCAATATGATTAAAAAAAAACTGGCACTGGATCATATGACTGTGGTTTCCATTGCTCCTTAAGCACTTTGAATCATACAAAATATTCACTCTTCCCCAACTGTGTGATGTGAGAGAACCAGTGGAGATACCATCCATTAGTTGAGATGTTAAACTGAAGTCCCAGCAGGATGACACTGAGTGTGATCACTGATCACAAGCAGCATCAAACAGCCATCAGCAGATATCAGACACACTTGTTATGAGGAAGTGGACAACATATATTTAGCCCTGGCCCACCATGAAATGGAATGGCATGAATAGTGTGCAGCTACCAATCATATACCTCAGTCCAAAACCTGCAAAAAGTACAGTATTGGGCAGCCCTGAACCACTGTCTGCAACTTTGTGTTTAGAGACACTCGGCTACTTCAGACCTTCATAACTTATTAGGTATTGGATCATTAACATAGTTAACCTAATCTAACACCTTTTATACATCTTGGTATAATTTGTGGTTGTAGGTATGAATTACTATCTGTCTACAATACCCTTTCTGGGGGCTGTTGATGCTGGCTTCTTCGAGGAATGGCCTTTTGAAATCGAGATCCAGTCTCCTGAAGAGCATGTGGATGATTTCTGTTATGGTACAGCAGACTGTCATACATTCATCCCTGAAGTAATGATTAAATGGAGAACAGTTTTTGAGGTAATTATTTTGAAGTATTGAAGTTTAATTGGGCATTTTGTACATTCAAACACTTGTGCTGTCACCCACAAGAAGAAGAAGGAACAGACCATATTGGCCGCATTCCCACCTCAAGGACAAGCAATGTGGAAGTGCCCTTGCTGAATTGAAAGGTTACAAAAAAAAACTCTCAAGGATAAAATGTCATAAAATGGATTTGTTGATAAGAGCTTTGAGTTGCAAATGAGAATTCCTTCTGATCATTGGAAGTACAGCACACAGACCTGGTGAAATTCCACTACAAAAAAAATGTGTTTTCAGAGCAGAGTTTCCATCTGTGTGTCTAACTTACTAGTTTTGGAAATCCTATATTTCCATTTTGTTTATGATGAACATAAGAAATATTCCCAAATACACTGATGCTGAGCATGTATCACTTATCACATCCAATGATTCGAAGATGAAACTCCCTCCTTGATACGGCTCTGAAAGGTGAAGTTGAAGAAGCCTTGTCTGCAGCTTCAGATGTCTTGCAATGGAAGTTCATTCCTGATCATGGCCTTTGACTGCTAGTCTGCATGATCTTTAGTTGCAATTTCAAAAATCTGACTAACTGGTGGTTAAACTCTGTGGTTCACAACAACAATTTACATTTATATAGCACCTTGTCCGTCAGGAGGATGTCTCAAAGCACATCACACAACTGACTGGAAACTTGAGGTTGTTAGTGGGAGGGAAAAAGTAACTGAAAGCACGGACAAAGGAATAGGTTACAAGGTGGGTTTTAAAGACAGAGTGCAAGTGGTTAATTGGAAAGGCTCCACAATAGAGTTCCATAGCGTGTGGACAGAGTGGCTGAAGGCTCGTCCACCAATGGTGAGGCAAAAAGGGCGGGAGGAAGTGAAGCTATGTTTGTTGAAGCTGGCTAGTGTTTGCTGAGTTGGAAGGTCAATGCTGTGGGCTTCTCAAATTTCACAAATGAGACCATTGTTGTGGTTTTTATAATCAGTCCATTGGATGTAATAAATTTCACACTGACCCAATATTGTCTCCTATTGCTTCTCTTTTGCAGTTTCTGAGAACAAAGAAATCTTCCATTTATAAGGTGGCACCTACCTTATCACCCAAGGAAGATATTATTTCGTATTATTTGTGGACTGCACACGTAGCATCGATTGAAGGTGCTCTTTCAAAATGTTCAGAAAGGTGTGTTTATTATTTTTATTATGATTTTGTTTTGCTGCTTTGTTCTACCTTTGTTCCTTCCTCTTGCACAACCTCTAGGCATGAAGTGTAAACTGTGTAGGGACTTGACACTTATAACCTCTAATACATTGCTTTCGGAGTGCTACATTTTTGGAAGTGCTGCCCCGAGATGAGTTAAGATGTTAAACCAAAGTCCCATCTGCCTGCTCAGGTTGATAATGAAGATCCCATGACACTCTTTTGAAAAGAGGAGTTAGTTTCATCACGTATTTTAGCCAAAAATCTCCCAGATAAAATTGATCATCCACTTCATGGCTGTTATGGGACATCACTGTATGCAAATCGACTGTTGAGTTCACCTACAAATATACAGTCATTACAGTCTTCAGTAGTTACCTGTGAATTGTTCCAGGTGCTGTATCAAGTTCAAAGATTGTACTCGCAAACATATATAATAATCAATCATCACATAATCTGCACAGATTGCACAAACAATAAAGAGATAAATTATCAAATTTAATCTGCTTTAATACAATTAATGTCCTGTAGCTCAGTGGTTAGAATACTCGCTCTGCAAGCGAGAGACTTGGGTTCGATTCTTGGCAGGGTGAAACCTTGGGCAAGTTTCCTTACTTGGCACGCCTGATAGTAATCCCTCAAGAAAAAATAAATAAATAAATTGGTCACTTCAATCCACGACTGTTTGTGGGACATTGTTGTGTGCAATTGGCTGCCGCACTTTGCCCACAAATTTCAGTCAATTCACTTTACAGTCTATTCTGTGAAGCACTTTGAGACGTCTAGAAGACGTGAAAAGCGCTATATCAAATGCAAGGATTCTTATTCTTATTATTATTACAATTTGATGAGAAAGAAATATTGGACATAACTGTGGCAGATGGAATTCAATGTGAGGAAGTGTGAGGTCATCCATTATGGATCTGAAAATAGCAAGACAGAATATTTTCTAAATGGTGAGAAACTAAGAACTGTGGAAGTGCAAAGGGATTTGGGTGTCCACGTCCACAAATCACTAAAAACAAGCTCTCTCTGTTACACATTATATGATTATTATGAAAGACACTATCAGAAGATACATTTTCAAATCTTCTGTGTCCCTCAGTACTCAACTATCTTTCTAAAGCTTGTTTACAAAGTGAAACAAAAATGAGATAAATCAAAATTTTATGTGTTTTGTAACATTTTTTTTTATTTTTTTCTTCTTGATAGGTTAAAGTATATGTCAGCTCCTGAAGCAAGGTTTGGCATTAGCTGGAGTAATGCAGTAGAATTTATTGCAGCTACTCATTTTCTTACCAACTTTAAGGACACTAATATATTCCAAGCGTATCTTCCCCAGCGAATGCTGTTAGCCAGCGATGAGGGACCAACCATCCCAGACCTGAGTGAAGAGGAGAACCGAGTCCTGGTTACACTCAATCTTTTGAATGAGGTTAATACAATTACAGGTAGGCAGATATACTTAAAGCCAGATTGATTTGCATTGCTATTTTCTTTTGGTGATCTGTGTGGTAAATAACTGGTGAATTTCTGTTACTGTAATATAGTTGCTGCTATATATTATAACAAATGACGCATTACAACATGTCTACTCTAGTTGGAGGGAAAAAACATGGTAGCTCAATTGGTGAGAAAGAAGCTTCAGGAAATTTCAGTTATTTACTAAACACTCCACAAATATAAAAGGGTACGGGGTAAAGGTAAGAGAATGGAGCTAAATGGTTAGCTCTTTCAGAGAACCAAATGAATGAACACCTTCTGTCCTGTCAATTTCCATAATTTTATCATTCAAGTTTAACTATTATCTTAAGCTCTGACTGGAAAGCTCCAATCGATTTCAAGACTAGTACGAATATAGTGTAACTAACCCAAGACGCAGGCTAACTGAGGAAGTCTTAAGGCTGCAAACTCTAGTCATATAATAAAGTCGCTCTATTTCCCCAAGTCTGTGAAAGCAGATCTGTTTCTTCCACCGTAAATCTCCCAAATGAAATATCACTGTTTCCCTTCAGTACCATTTCTTTGTTACATCTGTATTTCTTCATGTTAATGATTTTTGTCACTCTTGCTTTATATTAATATGTACAAAACTTATTATGTTCTTAAATAATACAAATTGTTCAAAGGCATGCAAAATTGTTTTTTTTAAATGTGCATTAGGATAAAAAAACAAACAAAAATTATATTTGTATAGTGCCTTTCACGTCAGGAGGACGTCCCAAGGTGCTGGACAATCAGGGACCTTCAAGACAATTGACCTTTGTGGACTCACCCCATGGCTGTTTGTGGGGCATTGTGCAAATTGGCTGCTGTGTTCACCCATAAAATACAAACAGTCATACCACTTTATAATATATCCTATGAATGCTTTGAGATGTCTTGATGGTGTGATAAGACAACAACAACAACAACAACAACAAGATTCCATTTATAAAGCGCCTTTCACGTCGGGAGGACGTCCCAAGGCGCTGCACAGTTGGGTCATGACCCGAGCAGGGGGGAAATGGTCAGGGTGAGGGGAGGGAAGGGAGGGAGCAAGGAGGGGGAAATGGTCAGGGTGAGGGGAGGGAAGGAAGGAGCGAGGAGGGGGAAGAGAGTCGAGAGGGGAGCTGAAGGCACGGTCAAAGAGAAAGGTTTTGAGACCGGCCTTGAAGGAGGAAAGGGAGGAGGCGGCGAAGGCACTGGGGGATAGAGTTCCAGAGCCTGGGGGCTGAGAGGCTGAAGGCCCGACCACCGATGGTAGGGCGGTTGGGGCGGGGGACGTGGAGCAGACCAGAACCAGAGGAACGGAGGGTACGGGCAGGTAGGTAGGGGGATAGTAGGTCGGAGAGGTAGGAGGGAGCAAGGCCGTGAATGGCCTTGTAGGTGAGGATGAGGATCTTGAAATTAATCCTCTGGGGGATGGGGAGCTATTATAATTATTCTTTTGTTCAGGAATTGAACACTTTTCCATTTTAGTAGCAACATCAAGCAGTCCCAAGCCAGCTAGAGCATAGTTAAATGCTGAGCAATACGTCATCTACTCCCTACCTACTATATACCTCAGCCCCAATATGCAAAACAAATCACCTAATCCAGCACCATTAAATTTTTCATTTCACAAAAAAGCCACCTTGCGGCCTGTGTAGTGCACCTCCTTTGAATTCAAGATCTGGAGTTTTTCCTGGTGTGCTGGCCAACAATTCTGGAGATAAATTTGGTTACTCACTTTATGGCTGGTCGTGGGACATTACTTTGCGCAAATTAGAGCAAATGTCTCATAGCGCTTCACAGAATATACTGCAAAGTGAATTGACTATAGTTTGTGGGCGACATGGGGCACTCAATTGTGCACAGCGGTGTCCCACAAACAGTCTGGATTGAGTGACCAAATTATCTTTTTTTTAAGGGATTATTACCCCCGAAAAAGAGATATGAGCAATCAACTAACAACTGGGTTCCTACGTAGTGCTAGATAAGCATAGGTATGTGGAGTAAGGAAACTTGCCTACCGTTTCGCCCTGACCAGGAATCAAACTCAGGTCCTCTTGCTTTCGAGGCAAGCGCTCTAAACACCATGCTACAACAACAACAACAAAGTTACATTTGTATAACGCCTTTCATATCAGGCAGATGTCCCAAGGCGCTAGACAATCAATGTTTCAGACCCAAGCTGGGGGCAGGATCGGGGAGGGTGGAGGGCAGGGGGCGAAGGAGGGTGACCGAAGGCACGGTTGAAGAGGAGGGTCTTGAGACGTGTCTTGAAGGAGGCAAGGGAGGGGGTGAAGTGAAGGGACTGCGAGATGGAGTTCCAGAGGTTGGGGGCAGAGTGGCTGAAGACCTACACGCCAATGTGGGGCGGGCGAGGCAGGGGACATGAAGCAGGCCGGAACCCGCTGAGCGGAGGGATTGAGCAGGTTGGTAGGGGGTTAGTAGGTTGCAGAGGTAGGTACAGTACTCCAGTAAAGGCTTGCAAAGAATGGTATTGGCCAGGATAATACATTCATTTTAGATGTATCTTGATGTTGTATTGGGAAGATGCTTGAGTGAATATTATGGAAGGATGAGAGAAAAAGTGTTGAAAAACATTCTTCATTCAAGTCTCTCTTATGATCTTGTGAACAAGACTAGTTGGACCCAAAGCCTTGCTTCTGGGCTGTATCATTGTACGTAATTCTACAGAGGATGTTCATTCTTTCATGAGTCCGACATAAATTTCGACTAAGCTGCCAGACATAAAATTGATGTGTTTTTTCTCTCTCACCAATTTTCTCAGCTGCCCTGATAACCTAAAGGTCTCAAGTACATAATACGGTTTCCAGATATCAATTCAAGATGTAATTTTTACATTAAAAATACATGAAGCTGGACAAAACCCAACTCTTCTGAAGCTTTGTTAAGTAAACTGTCAGTCAAACCTATTTATATTGGACATGGGGGGAGTGGAGCTGATATTCCTCCACACTAAACTTAGTGAATTTTAAAGTGTGTGCTTACAAGTGAATCTTTCCCATTATAAACCTGCATTGTCAATTTCATTAAATGATAAGAGGAATTTCCCTCCCGAGGAATCAGATTTCTGTGCATGTTCATTTTTCTTGGATTTATTACTGCCTTAATACAATTTGTCGAGATATCTAGGTTTGCCATCAGCCTGGCTCAGGTAGTAGCACTCTCGCCTCAGAGTCCAAAGGTCTTGGGTTCAAGTCCCATATCAGGACATTGAGCTCGTATTCTGGATTGACACAAGTGCAGTGCTGGGGAGTGCTGCATTGTTGGGAATGCCATTCTTTGAATGAGGTATTAAGTTGAGGCCTCCTCTGCCTATTCAAGTGGATGTTAAAGATCCCATGGCACTATTCAATAAAGAAAACAGTTTCTCCTGATGTCCTGGCCAACAATCTCCTAGATAATATTTGACGTGGCTGTTTCTGGGATATTGCTATGCACAAATTGGCTGCCTCATTCATGTACCATTACACAGTCACAACACAGTAATTCCTGTGAAGCCGTTTGAGCTGAAGCTCAGTATCAAATGCAAGGATTATTCTTATTTATTATTAACTTAATAAGCCAACAACTTCAATAACATTTCATCATAATTACTTGCTCTTAAATCATCACCTCCACAGTCAATCACCTGCAAAGAGAGGTGATGTAAAAAATTAAAAACTCTTTTTCTCAGTAGAATTTCTATGAATTGATACTTCAGATTGTTAAAGAAGCTTATTACAGACCTATTGTAAATCATTTACAAAATCATTTTCTGAAGAACAGTAACATCAAACTTAAAGTAAAATGAAGCTGCTTCTTTCAGTGTTAGTGTGCCACTCAGTGGTCATTTAAATTATGGCAGTCATCAAAAAGGGATTAAGTCTGCTTACTTGAGATGCTGCTGCTCATTCCAATACTCCCACACAGCCACCCGCTTCTCACAGCAAAAGAGAAGTTGAAATAATATATTAGAAATGATATGTAGAGACCTAGATTTGATTCTCTGCAGGGCAAACCGTTGGCCAAGTTTCTTTACTATACATGCCTCTGTTTACCTAGCAGAAAGTAGGAACCCGGTGGTTAGACAATTGGCGAATCGCTTTTTCGGAGGTAATAATTCCTTTTTAAAAAAAAAGGTCACTTTAATCCATGACTATTTGTGGGACATTGCTGTGCGCAATTGGCTGCCGCATTTCGTCCACAAAATATAAAGTCAATTCATTTTCCAGTATAAAGTGATGAATAAAACCCAACTCTTCTGAAGACATCTCGAAGACGTGATAAGGGGCTAAATCAAATGAAAGGATTATTATTATTATCTTTAAAGTTGATTGGGAAATTATACAAAGATGTTTATTACAGATGAATATTTGCAAGATCATAGTCAGATCATTTGAAATCTCCATAGTTGTATACATTGAGTACTGAGATTTTTTTCCAATATACTTTCATTTTATATTCTCTGAAGTGCATTTGGGGTGTTTGTCAAATAAAGCACTCTACAACCATTTAATCATGTTATGTATTATTTGCATCTATTAGTAGTCATGAATGGGCAGGTATCTGGCTGGGACACAGTTGACAGTGATGTGCTGCAATGCTGGCACTGTTATTTATAATTTTATGAATGATTTAGAGAATATTATTCTGTCAAAGATGTCTAAAATTGGAGATGATGTCAAATTGGAAAGATGACAAATGACAAGAATCAATACACACAAATTTAAAAGGATCTTGAGACACTGGATATGTGGATTGATAGGTGACAGATGCATTTTAACATAGAGAAATGTAAAATTGTGAAATTCAGCAGTAGAAATGAAAGTACTATATACAATTTGGGTCAAATGCAAATGTGGTTGAGGTATCAAAACACAAAAGAGATCTTAACATTTTGGTGAACAGGTACTATCCATGGCCTGGCTCAGTGGTAGCACTCTCGCCTCTCGGTCAAAAAATTGTGGGATCTCTTCTCTTTTCGAGGAGTACTATGAGATCTTTAACATCCACCTGAACAGGCAGACGGGATCTCAGTTTAATGTCTTGCCAAAAGGATGGTACCTCCGAACAAGGCTTTGTATGTCCAGCATTGCATTGCAGTGCCAATGTGGACTATGTGAATTCAGAGTCACAACCTGGGGTTCGAATCCACAGCCTTTGCACTCAGAGGCAAGAGAGTTACCAACTCAGCCAAGCTGACACCTTTCCCTGTCTGTTTCTCCATGCAAAAGGGATCTTGGGAAGTTGAATGGACAACTAAATGGACAATTGGTCGACTTTTGACTAAAATTATTTCTATCTGACATGATAACTATATAATTCTGCATTATCTTTCTCTCCATGCAGACGGGCGGTTATTACAAATGTGGAAGAGATCCATGTGCTCAGAAACAGGGAGAGCGGAGGGGCGTTATCTCTTGGAAAATATGATTCTAAATCCCGACCTTGTTTCATCTGGGATACTTAAAATTATTCTGGAATTCCTTAAGAATTCTGATTGTGTAATACCTGATGCTTAATCTTTATGTTGTCATTTCTGTTGCTCGAAATAAAGACTGGTATCTGGTTCAGTTTACACTACTCTGGTTTCGAAGGGTGTGGATTTAAATCCCACATCAGGACTTCAAGCTCACAATTTAGGATGATCGAGAGTGGATTATTAGGAGAGTGCTGCATTGTTGGAGATATCATGTTTCAGATGAGATGTTAGATGAGATGTTTAGTTGGATAATAAAGGTCCAATGTAACTCTTTAAAAACTGAAGAGACTTTCTTCTGGTGTTCTGGCCTCCAATGCTTCAGATAAATTGACCAGTCTGTGGGAAATTGCAAAATTCAAGTTGGTCTACAATTACATTGTTACTATACTATACTTAAACAATGAGAAGTTTTGATCTTATAGGCACTATATCAAATTCAATACTAATACAAATTTTAATTTGTTAAAGCCTAATGTTATAAAAGGCCTTTTTATTCAATATACGTATGACTATAAATCATAATTTCAAGGTTAATTGAACAATTTGAATGCACTTAGAAGCAACATAACATTCAGCTCTCAATTCTTTTGAGAGCTTAAAAGGCAATTAACAAACCAAAATATTTTGATTAAGACTGACACCTAAAATATTAACCTCGCTTCTTTTTGAGGCGATGATTGACCTGCTGCTATTTACAGGACTTTCTGCTTTTATCTGTCAATTTGTTTCCTGGAATGTCTCCTCTTTTCCTCTCCCCTGCTTTTGATAATGCTAATAAGGGCTGGGACAGCCAACCCACTGGTCTGACTCAGTTGATCATAGTAGTGGGGTAGAATTCCACCTGGGTCTGAATGAGTTCAATGGATCTTAATTTCAAAGTTGTTTTTTCTGTAATTCTTCAATTAACTTACAGGAAACTGCCTTCAAAATTAAGGTTGTATTTAGGAATTTGCCAAATTTTAGGGATGCTTTGAAATGTTATGTTAATACGATAAATCTCAGCCCAGGTGGAACATCTAGTCCAAGATATGAAAGGAATCATGGATGTGAACCTGTTTCTCAGTACTGCATGATACCAGTTGCATCATCGTATCATTTAGTTACCCTTCACTGACATTGCAGGCTTTAGATCAGTAAGAAAAAATGTAATCGCTCCATTTGGTATAATGCCTAAGGCGTTTCAAAGTGCTTCACAGTATTTCCTATAAAGTGTAGTGACTGAGTATTTGCAGGAAAACGCATATTTCTATGGTGACTTATTACATGAAAACATCTCAAAGCACTTCACAGTAATTACTCAAGTGTCATGATTGTTTGATCATCAACAAAAAGAAAGGAAATTTTTAATCAACAAGATTCCACAAGAGACACAAGGAATCTGGAAGATTGTTGGTCAGTTATAAGGTCACAACAACAACAACAAGATTCCATTTATAGAGCGCCTTTCACGTCGGGAGGACGTCCCAAGACGCTGTACAGTTGGGTCAGGACCCGAGCAGGGGGGAAATGGTCAGGGTGAGGGGAGGGAAGGGAGGGAGTGAGGAGGGGTTAGAGAGTCGAGAGGGGAGCTGAAGGCACGGTCAAAGAGAAAGGTCTTGAGACCGGCCTTGAAGGAGGAAAGGGAGGAGGCAAGGCGAAGGCACTGGGGATAGAGTTCCAGAGCCTAGCGGCTGAGAGGATGAAGACCCGGCCACCGATGGTAGGGCAGTTGGGGTGGGGGATGTGGAGCAGACTAGAGCCAGAGGAATGGAGGGTACGGGCAGGTAGGTAGGGGGATAGTAGGTCGGAGAGGTAGGAGGGAGCAAGGCCGTGAATGGCCTTGTAGGTGAGGATGAGGATCTTGAATTTGATCCTCTGGGGGATGGGGAGCCAGTAGAGGTGAGCAAGGGTGGGAGTGATGTATTCCCGAAGCCTGGTGCGGGACAGTACACGAGCTGCAGAGTTCTGAATGACCTGCAGCTTGTGGAGGGAGGTGCCGGGAAGGCCGGCGAGGAGAGAGTTCCCATAGTCCAGCCTTGAGGTGATAAAGCCGTGGACCAGAGTTTCAGCAGCGTGAGGGGTGAGGTAGTACCGTAGTCTGGCGACATTCTGGAGGTGATGGAAGGCGGTGCCAGTTGTGGTCGAACAGAACACCGAGATTCCTGACTGGCTTTGAGAGGTGGAGAGTGCAGCCTTGGATGCTGAAGGGGTGAAACCCCTTTATTTTGAATAGATGTCATGGGATCTTTGACATCCTCCTATTTGGGCAGGTAGGAACTCAACATTTCATCTCAAAGATAGCACCTCTGACAAAATGCAACGCTCACCAAGTACTGCACCGGAGTGTCAGCCTGCTGTGAATTTCCATGTCTGTTTCTCCATGGGTTTCAATGCACAACCCTCTTGCCTAGACCAATTAAATCAAGCTAACATTCATAAACCCAGTAATCTTCATCCTTAAATAGAAGATCTCATCCACATTTGTGACTTCTCTATCACATAACAGGAGAAGTGAGTGGAAATAAACATATCTGTTCTTATGCAAAAACAGAAGTCGCTGGGAACACTGCAGGTCAGGCAGTATCTATGGCGAAAGGAAAGTGAGTCAACATTTTGGGTCCACGAACCTTCATCAAAACTGGGCATGTTGGAAGTGAGTGGCTTTTAAGGGCTAACAGAGAGTAGGGAGGCAGGGCAAGGAAGACAAAGGTGAAAATGGGGTAGAGGACAGGGGATGATGGGTTAAAGGTGTTAATGATGCAAAACAAAAGGGGGGATTGCAACAAAGCAGGGGAATAGAGGTATCAATAATGCAAAACAAAAGGGGAAAAATGCAACAAAATAAGCAGAACTGAGAGAGAGAAGGTGTGTGCCACATCATCTGGGTCCCAGACACACCTTTTCTCTCTCTGATCTGCCTATTTTACTGCATTTTATTCCCTTTGTTTTGCATCATTACCATCTCTTTAACCCATCATCCCCTGTCCTTCACCCCATTTTCTCCTTTGTCTTCCTTGCTCTACCTCCCACCTCTCTGTTAGCCCTTAAAAGCCTCTCCATCTCAGTTCTGACGTAGAGTCATGGACCCAAAACATTGACTCACTTTCCTTTCTACATAGATGCTGCCTGACCTGCTGAGTGTTCCCAGCGACTTCTGTTTTTAATTAAGATTTCCAGCATCTGCAGTATTTTTTGTTTTGTTTATATCTGTTCTTATACTTGTTTACCTTGTGTCACATTTGGGTCACATACTGTATTACCATTCTTTATTTGCAAAGACGTTTTCCTAGTTGTAATTATAAAAAGAACAGGGTGTCAGAGTATTAGCCCACATGACAGATGTCTATTAAACATCAATGGATGTAATCTGTTCAGGAAACATAGTTATCATCTGGAAATCAGATCTCCTGTACGTGGAAGCAATGATATATTCAACTCCATAAAGGGAATTCAGCGGAGACTGGAGGAGCTGGGACTATTTCCATTGGAACAAAGAAAAGTTGAGGGGTGACTTGTTACAGGCCTTTAAATTGTGAGGGGTTTGGATAGTTAAAAAGGAGAAATTATTTCCAATAATCAGTGATTCAGTGACTAGCGGACATCAATTCAAGCTAGCTAGCAAATGAGTAATAATAATAATAATAATCCTTGCATTTGATATAAGCACTTTTCACATCTTCTGGACGTCTCAAAGTGCTTCACAGAATATACTGTAAAGTGAATTGACTGTATATTTGTGGGCGAAACACGGCAGCCAATTGCGCACAGCAGTGTCCCACAAACAGTCGTGGATTGAATATAACCAAATAATTATTGTTTTTTTTGGAGGGATTATTATTAGGCGTGTGGAGTAAGGAAACTTGCCCAAGGTTGCACCCTGCCTGGAGTTGAACCCAGGTGTCTCGCTTGCAAGGCGAGTGTTCTAACCACTGAGCTACAGGACTCCACGTCCACGGTTGGTTGAGGCAGAATCCATATCAGCTTTCAAAAGGGAGCCAGATAAATACCTAAAAAGGAGTAAACTACACAGGTTTGGGGAGAGGCCGGGTAAATGGGTAAACTGAGAAGATTGTTCTCGGGGAGCGGCGGCAGGACAGCGCGGGGAGGAGCCTGGGCCTACTGACCCAGGTACTTAAACTCGACGCCGGAGCGAGTTCAGCCCCGGGGGAGGGGAGGGGGTGGTCTGGAGGCGGAGCGGGGGAACCGCTGACGTCATAGATTCGTTTTCAGGTGCGTGCGCATGCAACAAAAAAAACAAACAAACAAAAAAAAACCTCTGCGCCCCCCCCCCCCCAGGGCTCACATCAGAGCCCACTATGGTCCTGTTGGGTTCGCTGCCCCAATCTGCGGGATAATGCCATCCACCTGACCGCTCGCTCCCGGTCCCCGCGTGCGCACTATGGCTGCCGCTTTGACCCGAGCCCCCTCACCCCCTCCCTCCCTCCCCCCTCCTCTCTCCCCCCAAACCTCCCCCCTCTGCATCTCTCCCGCTCTCTCCTCCTCTCTCTCCGTCCCTCTCGTCTTCTATCCCCACTTGACCCTCCCACAACCTCCCTCTGCTCCAGCCTGGGAATCCTCCGCCGGGCTCACCGTGGCACTCGGCGTTGGCTGTCCAGCAGCAGCCACACCGACTGCCCCATTCCCCACCACACTCGCCACCCACCCCGGACACAGACCCGGGGAGTCAACCTCTCCTCCCTCATCCCCATTCCCCCCACCCCTGCCTCACAACCTGGACCCCCTCCCCTCCCACACACCCTTCTGTCAACCGCTCCCTCCACATCGGACTGCAAAATGTCCGCTCCCTCTGCAACAAGGCCCTGGTCATCAACGATCTCATCCTTGATGAGAACGTTGATATCATGGCCTTAACAGAAACCTGGCTCACCCCAGGCGACACCTTCCCCCTCACGGAGGCCACGCCACCCGGCTACACCTCCCACCACATCCCCCGCCCCAACCGCCGTGGCGGTGGTGTTGCCCTTATCTCAAGGACACCACTTGCCCTATCCCCCTACTCCACTGGCTCTTTCCCCTCCTTTGAGCACCTCACCCTCTCCC